GCCGCGGGGACTGGGACGGGGCTGACTCCTGCCGCTCTTCTCGACAGAAGCGGGGGAAAAGGGGCAAAACTCAGATGCCAGCAGGTGAAATTAAGGTAGAACAGAAGTAACCTCTGGTGCATCTTTGCTTAGAAGATAGAGCGTGCGATATAGCCCAGAATAATCCACTACCGGATTATTTCACGTTACAGCGGGAGTGTGCTTAGTACATCAGAAAAGATGAGATAAAATCAGTGCTTATGTGTTGGCTACCGTTATTGATACTGTACAGTTTAAAATGCCAGTAAAATTCCTTGCAACAACAAGAATGCTGACTGTAATGGAGTAAAGTTTCACAAAAGATTGTTTTGCCGTATCCCTCGGATCTTTGGAAGCCGAATAAACTGTTCAGTGCAGCTTTTGGTTTGGTGTCCGAGAATTAAATATAAGGAAGACCTTTGGTGTGGCTGAAAAATTTCCCTGTACCGGGACATCTAGTCGTGGTCACTCATAAGATCAAGTCTTCGTCCTTCCCTACTAAGTGTGTCAAAAGGACAGTGAGAACGTAAGCAGCTACTTAAAGAGGGAGGAGGACACAAAATGCCTGTTGAGACTTTTTATCAAGTACAATTAACGGCAATCTGTATCAAATGCATTTTTAAGAAGATTTTTTTGGTCTTTAATTTATAGTTCTAAAATGTAGTTTTCTTTAGACAAGTATGTTTGGACAATTTTAAATCTTAGCTCTCCATTAATATAAAGAATTAAGGCACAAAATATACACCCTCAAATATCTGTCTCACAGAGAATATTCTTTGTGGGGAGGGAGAAAGGGAAGGTAATTGCTATGGGCTCCAAAAGGAGCCATCGTTAACCAGGAGACACCTAGGTATCTATCTAAATAAGGGCTTTAGAGTATCCTTGTGTTTGTGTATTTTCATTAAGACTTGAGTCAGGTTGGTGGGAAATCAGTTAATGATTTGCATCATTAATAAGCATCAATGCAATATTAGTTCCACACCCTCCCCTCCCCAGCTCCAACGTGTTACCATGCAAAGGAAAAGTATCAGAGTTGATAAGAGCTGAGTTACTGATACAGAATAAAATGGAAGTGAGGAGGCAGCTGTTGGAGGAGAGGAATTATTTTTGCATTACCATTTTCTCTTGTCGTCTTGCACCAAAACGGTTGCTGCATTAATGCAGACCCATTTTCAGTCAATTTTTTTAAATTGAAAGCCAAAGATTAATGTTGGTTTAGGGTTAAAGGTGTAAGTGCGTGCATTTGGCATTGTAGGCATCTGAATTTCTCTTCCACAACTTTTTTCAAATTCATAAGTTAGAAGTAGTTTTTAGAACTTAATGTAAGAACACATTGCGTTTTGTTGTATTTTCTTCGTTGGTCTCTTAAACATACTACTTTACAAATGTTGTCACGTGATCCTAAACACAATGTTGGCTGAACTAGCAAAATACAAAATAAGAACATTAGTCTTACATGCATGTAGTTTGTCCTAGCTGTGCGCTTTATAATATTGCATGCAACTATGCCAAATCTCATAAGCTGATCTTATCTTAAGTCAATGATCCTGAATGTGGAATCAAGCCAACATGCTGCGTATAAGCGCAGTATATATAAAACAGCCCAACAGTTTTTGCCTTCAAAGACCACCATTCAGCTCTGTTTGTAACGGAGACTTCTTTGCATCCAGCTTCTTCTACAGCAGTATCATCTGAGTAGGATTTGGCTTGTGCAAATGGCTATCTCTGCACTTGAGAAAAAACCAATAATGTATATGTAATCGTGGGGTTATTGGTTTTTTCTTCTCTGCTTGGAGTACCCTTACTCAGTGCCTGTTCCTGGCTCTTGTGATCCTGATCTGACGCTTGCTCAAACGAGCTGTGAAACCTGCAGGCTGCTCAGCAGAACCTGGATTGGGCCCCGTCACCCCCTTTCAGCTGAGAATTTGACGTCTGGACTCAAGTTGATGGAGAGCAGTGGCTTTGCTGGATCAGAAACAGTGTGATGGACTGACACTGTTATCTGGGCTCATATAGTGACAACTCATTAGAGATGGGGACCAGGTCAGAAATCCAGTGACTATATTTCCATGAGTATCAGTGGGCTTGGAGTGAGACCCCTTCCATGGGATACCACCTCTGCACCCTACAGAGCTCACGGCTAATAACCTGCTTGAAACCTTTCTTAGAACAGCATCAAATATCTGCCTTGTTGTAAACCACTCAATTTAAAATGAACTAACTTCATTATTTTGTTAGGCAGATTATCTTCTTAATCTGAAAGATAAATGGGAACATTTTGATAAAAACCAGATTTTACCTTTTATCTTTAAACTTATCTGTTATAGATAGAAATACTTAACTGTACAGCATTATCCATTTTGAAGAGGTTAAAGTTGGAGAGACTGTAGAAGAGAATCAATGCAACTGCTGCGTTTTGATTGCATTCTTATTTTTGCTCTTTCCATTCCCAATGAGTTGTCACCAGATAGTCATATCTTTAAAAACTCTGTCAAATAAAAAAATAATTCCAAATAGCAATAATATGCCTTCATTGTTTCTCTCCTCTTTCTCACTGGCTCCTTCAGAAACCTCACTTTTTTTTTTTTTCTTATTTTTGCAAGGTTTGAAGACATATGAGAGACAGCCTCTGCTTTGTATTTTTTCTGTACTTTGCATTTTCTGCATTCTTAATTGTTTCTATATTATCTCTATTTATGGCCTGGCTACATGTGGCTAAGAATATGGTCTGTGATATCCGCTGATGTCAACGCAGTCAGGGGTGTGATCACTGGTAATGTGCAAAACCACGTGGTCCTACAGTGTTGGTTGTATGAATAAAATTAGTGTGTGATTTGGGTGATTGTGATAAGGGTTTGGCATGTGAATTAGGGGACCCGACAGATGGAATAGCTTGGTTGTGGTTGATCAGAGTGGGACCGTCTCTATAATCAACAGATTCTGGTCAGCACAGCGCTTTAACTCCTTAGGTTTTGTCTCCTTTCTCTGTAAAAGCAGTGCTTTACAGTTATGTAGCCAGAGAAAGGCAATGATTTTTTTCAGTTCTGATCTACTAAATCCTGATCCATCTTTTTCTACCTATATCCAGCGGGTTTTGGTTTATTCTCTTTACCAGTGTTCATTGAATTTGCTAACAAGTATTTTGTTCAACTTATTTCTGCTGACATCTTATAGCTCCTTTCCCTCCCGCCAAAGATACCAATGCTAATTATAAACTATACTTTGAAAACATTTTCTGCATCCTAGAGAATGACTAAAGATGTCTATAAAATCATTCAACTGAAAAAAAGAAATCTCACTATTTCGTCCTCAGCTCTCACAGTTTCTATGTGTGCTTAACTTTATGCCTGTTATTGTGTAAGGATTTAATTGGCACCTTTCCTTTTGTGGTTGATTAGTCAAAGCACAATATTACCCCAAGACAAACTGAAATGTAAAACTATACTTTTTGCACTGCTAGCCATTCAAAAAAATCTTTTTGTTTGTTTGCATTTAGTTAAATAAGTCAAATTACATGATGATTGAAGATAATAAAGAGAATGAAGACCATGCATCTGAAAGAGGAAGAACAGCCATCATTTTTTCCTTGAAGAATGAAGTCGGAGGACTTGTAAAAGCATTAAAACTCTTTCAGGTATGTAATAATCACATTGCTATAGCAGCTCCGTATTTTTAAATGATAAGGATAGTTTTGGAACACACTAGAATTAATTACATCCATTTATTAAGCATGTGATTCTGAACCTGGATCGTACTTTGCACCCAAAATTACCCAGGAAGGCAAATTTATGCCTCAGAAATTAGATGCTGGCTAGCTAAAAACCTATACAAAATGTATCATCTGCACCTACTAAAGACTGAGAGAGTTTTGTCTTTTCCCCCTCGTGAAAAGAGGATTGGCACTCATTGTTTCTACTGCATGTAAGAGGTGGGTCTGAAGCTCCTGCCGATGTCAGGCAGACACTTGGGGTGCTGACCCACACTAGGTTGAGTCCAGTGCCCTTGTCACCCTGCCTAGCCGGACTGCGGGTGACGGAGGAACTGCAACTGCACAACCGCACTCCTTTGATTGCTGGGCAGGTATTGCGCAAGGAATACACGCAGTGCTGCTGTGCTCTGTCATCTGACCCTGCGTGTCTTAGCCTGGGGTTTTCTCTGTGTTCCTGATATAAGACATATGATTAAATAATTTTTCAAATAAAAGAAAAGTGAAATTTACGCCCTGAGAACTACTGCTTTTAAATCCCTTGCTTACTTGTGAGATAATTATATGGTGACTTGATTGGCATTTTGGAGAATTTCCCCAGAGCCAGTTGCTAATCAGCTTCTTATGGGAGAGATGAAAGAGAAAGGTCTATGAATTTAAGCCTCCTGACTGTGTCTTTCTGTGCTTCCTGAATGTAAATGAAATTGAAAGAACACAGGTTCTCTTTCATTTTCTTCTGAATGGGAGGCTTCTTAAAATCAAACCATTTCCCCCCCCTCCAAGAAGCAAATTGCTATCAAGAGATCAAATTAACTAAAATAGCTTCACAAAGGTGGTGAATATTTGTTTGAAAAACAAATTTTAGTTTTTAGTCAATGCATTTGAAAACATTACTTTTTACAAAACAGGAGAAGCATGTGAATCTGGTACACATTGAGTCACGGAAGTCCAAGAGAAGAAATTCTGAGTTTGAGATCTTTGTGGACTGTGACAGTAACAGGGAACAACTGAATGAGATCTTCCAGCTCCTGAAATCCCACGTCAACATTGTCTCTGTGAACCCAACAGAGCATTTCAATGTCCAGGAAGATGGTAAGTACAAAAGGCAGTTCTGATGAAAATGCAGTTCCCAATGTGTTGGTTTGAAATCTTTTTATGGTGTCCACATCTGCATTTGTGTAGTGTTTTCAGTCAGTAGCTACTAGGTTTATGCTTCTGTGTTGTGGATGAGTGTAGTTTGGTTGGTATGAGCAGGGCTGCGTTGGCTGGTGTCACCTAGGAATACAAGCGGTTTCGGTCTGGTGCAAATTGCGTGTCCGTTATCTGTGCTCCTGTTCTTTCTCAGCACGGCACAACTGGCATGAGTGGGAGTCCCTGCACCTGTGCAGGCCAATGCAGGATGGCACGTAGGCAAAGTCTGAATGCAGGGCTTGGCTAGGGGCTGTACACCATGATGACAGAGGTGTAATACTGACAGATCCCAGTTCAGTTCAGACACTGGTGAGACTGGGAGGTGGATTCTGCAGTTTCCTCACGTAGCTCTTGATTTAAATTTTTTTTTTACCACTTTTCATTGTAACTGGTTATTTACATTAGTGTGAAAGAGGTGCCTTTTAAGTTTAGGATGCTTCATATCCTGTTTACCTTTGCTTCTAGTTCAAGAGATGCCTAAACTTCAGGGCGGCAGAAGTCGGTCCCATGCATTTCTCGGCCACTGTGCTTGGCACAGGCTGTTAGGTAGGGGAAGGTGAGATCTAGTGTCTCTTGGATAAAAACAGCTTATGTTAGCCCTAAGTAAGGGGAATTTCAATCTATACACTCCCCCTGTCCTTTTTAAGAAAACTGAAGAGCGCTTGGTTATAAACTCTCTTGGGCTAAAAAAACCCAGTTAGTAGCAAAACTGTAATGATGCATCTCTCTGAGGCTGCAGGGCTGAAATTGCCGCCTCCTTGTCTTCTTCCCCTCAGACCTTTCAGCAAAGCTGGATGCTTCTGAGGTGCGTAACCACAGACCAACCTTTATTTCCCGTGGTCAGTAAAGCAGAATGGGAGGGCTCAAACCGGCTCCCTCTCTGTCCAGGGACCACAGGCAAATCACTCCTCTGCTCCTTTGCATGCTTTGTACCCTAGAAGATTCACAGCAGTGTGCACAAGGAGGCCTTGTCTCAGTGGGAGCCTCTAGATACTACTCTAACATTAACAGTACTAACAGTTAAGGGACACAGAAAACCCGTATTAACTGTTTCCTCCCCTGGACACTTTGGAGCTGGCTGTGCTCTGTAGGCAGACTGTGGCAGTGACAGAGGAGGAAGTGTGAGCTGTAGGCTGGTGCCAGATAGGCAGTGGACTCCCTTGTCTTATTCATGACCCTTTTAATTTATAGATTTCGCTTGTAACCGCCATAGCCATACTTGAAAGTAGCATTTCCTCCCTCAGCATGCTCAGCGTTATTAATAACTTTGTGGATTCCATGCGATCCCTAGACATGGAGAATGTTCCCTGGTTTCCGAAGAAGATCTCAGATTTGGATAAGTGTGCAAACCGAGTGCTGATGTACGGGTCCGATTTGGATGCTGACCATCCAGTAAGTATCTTTTCCCCTGCTATGCTCAATCCTTAGTGAAAACGTACTTTGTGGAGCTTACTTTAAAAAACAATTGCAGCTTTTCCTCCTCCCTCTCCTTCCCCTCAATGGTGCCTCTGTGGGTTCTAGCATCTTCTCTTGAGAGTTTCATGTCGTCTTCCTAGTTCAGGCAAGGCCGTCACTGAGTTCAGCTCCTGTGCCTTTCTACAAGGCTTACTCGTGTGAGGACTCCAGGTCTAGGCCCTGAGTGGTCGCATACAAATTTAAAAAAAACCAACCGAACAAAAAAACCCAACAAAACAACCCAAAACAAAACCCAAAAGCTGTTGTGAGGAAGGCTTGATTCCTCCTCTTTCTTTCGTTCTTTCTTCCTTAATATAAATGGAGCAAACAAATTGGTGCTTGGGCAGTGCAAATGGGCAATTTGTCCTGTAATTTAGAATAAGCAAGTAACAATATTTGTACAAATACCGATATGACTAAAATGAATCCTTGTCTACTGAATATATAGTTGCATGCATAAAACCGCTGATCCTTTCTTTGAATCGGAGTATTTGCTTAGTTCACAGTTATTAAACATTTCAGACTACAGCTATGAGGTTCCTGCCCTGTCCTCTCATTCTTACACAGCATACTTTTCTATTTCCCAACTGAAGAAATTTCAAGTGCCTTGTTTTAAATTAATTCATTTACTACAGTTTGGAAACTCATTTAACTTTGTTTTTCCCCTTCCCCCTCCCCCAGGGTTTCAAAGACAATGTCTATCGCAAGAGGCGAAAGTATTTTGCAGACCTGGCTATGAACTACAAACAGTAAGCTCGGCTTCTTCCAGAATAAGCCTTCTGGGTGCTTTGAAATAATAGCAGAGTGGACTGGCAGGGGCTCACGTTCCCTGGGCTCAGATCTCGCTGAGACGTGCTTGGCTCAGGAATCGGAGCTGGAGGGATAAAACGAAGGGAGACGTAAGACAAGACTAAAAGATCTAGGCCACCTTACAGCTCCCTGGGTCTCTGATCGGTCTGAGGATCAGCTCGTAGTTGCTCGGCAATTATGGCACCTGTGGCAGCACTGATCCTCAGATGATCAGCGATGCCAGCGTGGGCTTCCTGCAGTGTGGTGCACTGGGACTCTGCGGTCCCTTCCCGCTTCTCTGGAAATGGGTGCAACAAAGGAAGAGGGTGGACAACGCATGTTGCACAGCTGCCTGTGGCAGGACATGTTGACTTGACTAGGGCAGACCGGTCTCTGCGAAGGAGAGGGAGGGGAGGCAAAACCCAATATATAGCCCATTGACCACTGAGTGTAAGCTCTCTGGGCAAATGTTAATACTTGAGTTTTCTTTCCTGCCTCAGACTAGTGCATGTGATGTGTAGATAAGACTTTTTCTGTGAAAAGAAACTTGAAGAGCTTCTGTCTTCAGAGATGCTGCTTGGGGGAGGGAGCTCTTAAAGCAGTAAGAGTTTCATAGCCCAGTGCTGTAAATTCTTTCTAAACGTGATTTTCACGTTGCTGTTGCCTGCTTGAATTTAGATGCCAAGTTCCTCAATTGGAAATGACCTATAAATGGTGGGTATCTAGAGCTCTATTGCACTGTGTATTAATGCAACTGATTACCACAGCACAGAGCCCGTTGCTGTTAATGTGTTGTTCACAGAGATTCCCTTGGGAAAGCATCTGCCATGCTGGTTACCTGGCTGGTAGTGGAAGCTCAGCGTAACACTCGCATTGCTTTTGGCGGGCTTTAGGTCACACCCTTGCTATCATCCACTTTAATCAAGATCCTGAGGGCTAAATAGGAGAGGTGGACTACAATTAATATGTTCAGACAGACGCTTGTCTCCTCTGCATAGAAGCACGATTTTTACTTAATGTGTATATTTAGCTGCTTCCACACATTGTGTTATTAATTTAGGGAATTCTTTTTTTTCTAAATCAAATCAAAAAGGTAATGTAAAGTAATTGTAGACAGGGAAGTCCTACAGGGAAAAGGATGTGTTCTCAGCTCCTGAAGCTGTAAAGGTTTTGCAGGTATTTTAAATGTTACTCTCGGCATTAAACACCTAAGAAACTGTTTACAGGACCGAAGCTTTCAGGCTCCAGTGAGGTCAATGCAAAGATTCCTGTTACTTGATTTAGGTGTAAAGAGAGCAAGCCCTTTGACTAAAGGCTCTCCAGGGCATGGACCAGATCTCACCGTGTATTTGACAGTGCCTAATGCAATGGGGTCTTAACCCTGATCAGGTGTCACAGCCATATAAATGTTAAATGATAATAGTAAGTAAATGAGTCATCTGTTATTAGTCATTTACCAAAGAATGTCCTTTCTTCCTCTTGTCTTTGTAGTGGTGACCCGATTCCCAAGATTGAATTCACTGAGGAGGAGATCAAGACTTGGGGGACTGTGTACCGAGAGCTTAACAAGCTTTACCCAACTCATGCCTGCAGAGAGTACCTTAAAAACTTACCCTTGCTCACCAAATACTGTGGGTACAGGGAAGACAATATCCCCCAGCTGGAAGATGTGTCCCACTTCCTGAAAGGTAATGTACTAATTTTCTTACACAAAAAGGAACTAAGGTCCATTGCAAATCACACTGCTGTTATATGGGCATGGAGAAACATCCTTGGTCGCTTTTTTGCTTGTATTCATTCTGGTCCTTTAAGAGGCCCTTTGGCCATCAATGTTTTAATGTATTGTGTCTTGAATATATACAAACAGTGACATTTGTGGGGCAATGTTACCTCTGAAGACACTATTAGGATTGGCTGAAGAGATACCTAGCTGTATTATGTTGGCTTTAGGTGTGAAATCATAGGAAATCCAGCTATACAGAGGTAGGGACATTTTTACTAAATGTTGATCATTCTCAAGATTAGGCCTAATTTTTCTAATTGTGCCTAATTTTCCCACGTGCTCTTGAGCCAAGGTAGTGCTGTGGCTTTTGTCCCAGTTGTAGCAGGAAAGGTGACAACATTGTGCAATTCTACACTAAGCTAATGTACAGTTTCTCTGTTCCTTTTCAGAGCGCACAGGTTTCACCATTCGCCCCGTTGCTGGATATCTATCGCCCAGAGACTTCTTGGCAGGATTAGCATTCAGAGTTTTTCACTGTACTCAGTATGTTAGACACAGCTCGGACCCTCTCTATACACCAGAGCCGTGAGTCATTTAATCTTGGGGTAGAATTTGAGGGAGGGAGTTTAGAATCTCACTGCCTAGAGTGAAGCTACTTAAAAGCTTTTCAAGAACACCAGCAAGAAAACTTATTTTTTAAGGTGCTGGAGACTCAGCCTTCACGCTGAATGTAATGAAGTTTTAGCATGCGCAAGTGCCACCTTCGTAAGTACAGGGTTTTCAAAAGTACAGCATGTTATTGGAGAGCTCTTACTGATGTCATTGCGTGCAGAGTTTGTTTAATATTCAATTGCCTCATAAATGTGGAGCTCAGATCTTAATTTTAGACAGCTTAATTTTAAAATCTGAGTTTATATACTTATGTAGAGCTGGTATGACCTGCTCAATTGCTTTCAGCTGAACATGATTGACACTTTTCTGTCTTTTGGATATTAAATAGTTTAACATAAGACATTGTATCTGTTCAGTGGTGCTGCTTTTTCACTCTACCACAAAGACAGATTGTGAGATTTCTTGTTTTGTTTCTTTTTTGCAGTGATACCTGTCATGAGCTCCTAGGCCATGTCCCTCTTTTGGCTGAACCCAGTTTTGCTCAGTTCTCCCAGGAAATTGGTCTTGCATCACTCGGGGCATCAGATGAGGCTGTCCAAAAACTGGCAACAGTGAGTGTTTCAGTGCCTGGTGATCCCATTGAAAGCTTTGTGCTTTGCTAGGCTGATCCCACTCCACTTGAATAAATTTGGAGCTTCATATCAACATTAACCACACCAGCTGCTAGACCTATGTGTTTCACTGGTTCTTGGCTTTTAGAACATATAACAATTTTCCATGCTAGGAAAAAGTACGTTTTAAGGTTGATATGATTGGTATTTTTCTTCACTTGGCTGTCAAGTAAGGGTGCAACTTCTGGTGGTAGATCACTTCTTCCAGATTGAAATTCTATGGTCTGTTTCTTCCCAACAAAATCTTTTTACTTCTGGGAATGTGATTCAATGATTTTAAGAGTAATCTGTTTCTTTGATGTGTAGAATGAATTGAAATGATAAGGTGTTTTCACTGAATGTGGTGAGCACTAGCATTAGATACTTTTCAGCCAAGAAATTAAAATCATATCAATTATTCTTATTTCCTGGATTTGAATTTCTGAATGCTTTGGCAAAAATATTTTAAGACGAAAATTAAATTTAGGTGAAAAATAATTGATGCCAGGTGTGAAAGAACTGGTTTGCGGATCCCCCCCCCCCCCCCCCCCCCGGCCGTAGCGAGTGGTAAAATTTCTACTACCTTCAGTGGGAGCAGAATTAAGCCATCTATGAAAATAGCGTTCCTCCCCATATGCCTGCAGAAATCCTGAAATCCAGCAAACTAAACATCTTTAATTTTACAGGCCACTAAGCAAATAAGGAACAAACTGTAGTGGGCTGATGTTTTCATTCACAGAGATCCTCTCTATCTGGTGTTTCTTTTAAGCTGAAGCTGTCATGAAAGTATTTCTCAAAACAGATTTATGTTTCCATGTTCCTATTGACATTAACACCTTCTAGCCTATTTGGGTGATCTATAATGTCAATCTTTCTTATGAGAAACATGCAATCTTGTGGTTCTTCACCCTTCCATTCTGGCTTTGCTCCTCTTTAAATACCTGAAAAGGATAACCAAGTGATGACTGTCTGATATTTGCAACCGTTTGACACTACCTACAAATCGAAATGCCCCCATCTAGTTCACCACAGTATGTTTGCTGAAGGCTGAATTATTTTACTGCCTTCTCTGTTTCAGTGCTACTTCTTCACTGTAGAGTTTGGCTTGTGCAAGCAAGAGGGACAGCTACGAGTTTATGGGGCTGGCTTGCTCTCTTCAATTAGTGAGCTCAAGGTAAGAATATCTACTGCCTATTTACCTCTTTTCTTTATACGTGATTATTATTGTCACTGTTTTGCCCTGTTTTTTTTATGAAGTATAGTTCTAAAAATCCTTCTTTTGGAAACTCCTAGATATCTGCGAGAATTTAAGCAAATTCACTGGACAGTGGCAATAATCACTGGACAGTCTGCTTTTGGGTGTATGCTGAGCAGCTCCCCTCTCTTTCGCAGGAAGCATTAGATGACTGGTATTTCTTAACGTTAGGTTCCGATAACTATTTTCAGAATAAAGCTCTGCTGGTTTAACTAGATTGTGAAAATATTGCTCATGTTTACACATGAGCCTTGTGTCTGAGGAGTCCCTTTTTTGACCCAGATTGGCAGAATGGGACCATTCAGGGTTATGCCGTTTGTTAAGCTTTAACTGCTGTTCATCTGCAGCTAAAAACTTTAAGAAGCAATACACTAAATATGGTCTCACTTCATCTTTTTTATTCACTCTACCTCATGTCATCTTCCTTGTGGATTATTTGGGTGGTGATGTTCCTCTGACGCATGATAACCCATTCTGTTACCAGCACTCACTCTCTGGCAGTGCCAAAGTCAAGCCTTTTGATCCAAAGGTCACCTGCAAGCAAGAATGCCTCATTACAACTTTCCAGGAGGTTTACTTTGTTTCTGAAAGTTTTGAAGAAGCAAAGGAAAAGATGAGGTACAGATTTTCTTCCCTGTTTTATAAAAGCGGGTTTGATTTCATGCATCTCTCAGTAGCAGCACCAAACCCTTTTATTCTTACCAGAGTTTTATAATTATCTTTCATGGGTTTGGAAAGCTGAGGTTAGTATTTGCTTGGTCTTCCATGTACTGGGTGGGAAAGATGATGAGCTATATAACAATTACAACTATTTTTAAGAAAGTCGTTTAGAAAAGTGGTTATTGATACTGACTACATACAGAGGATGCATTTGTTTTGTTTGTAACTTCCTCTCTTTTTTACTTGAATAGAGAGTTTGCAAAAACCATCAAGCGCCCATTTGGCGTGAAGTACAATCCATATACTCAAAGCGTGCAGATCCTGAAAGACATGAAGAGCATCGCCAGCGTGGTGAATGAGCTACGTCATGAGCTGGACATTGTCAGCGATGCCCTCAGCAAGATGGGCAAGCAGCTGGAAGTTTAACACCCCTGTCAGCAGTGTGGTGCACTCGGCAACTCTTTTCTTTTCCCTACTGATTTCTTTCTAGGCATGTAATGTGTTGTATGCAGAACTCTCTCCTTTACAAATGGAAGAGTGAATGGCCCATAAGGATAATCGCTTTATCTTGTTTCTCTGTATAAAGTCCCTTACAGAATGTATTCCTCCATCCCCCTTGGATAAAAAAGGCCTGGCGTTGCCTTTGAGAAGCTGGTGGGAGAATAGAGAAATTGCTAGACTGGAGCAAAAGTGTGGTCTGTGGATCAGGGCTGGGACCAGATGCTGCAGAAGGTGGCTTATGAGGCAATAGTGGAATAATTTGCCACAGGGAAATGTCCGTTTCTGACTGTAGTAGTCTATGCTACTAATTTTATAGCGTTGCAGACTTTATAGCATAGAAGCTATAGTAATCAGTGTTTCTAGGTCTGTGCTACTAAGTTTAAAACTTGAATGATTACAACACAGGCATCAGGACACAAATAGCTGGAGGTTCACCATGATAAAACTGAGGGGTCAAATCTTCCTTTCAAAGGGATCATTCTTGCCCCCAAAGAATTTCAAATGTGCTGTTTGGTGTGCTTCTAGTATAAGGCAGAGACACAGAGCGGTTGCATGAAATCCTAATTCTGTTTCTTTTCAGTGATTGCTGTCGGCTCAGAGAGTCAGGATTTTTGTTGCTGTCCTTGATGTTGCACCTGAGGGAAGACCTTTCCTTACAGAAACACCATTTGCCTTTTTCCTGATTGAATTAATTTAACAAAAAATATAGCACGCCATCAGGTACTGACTTAGCACAAAGGCTAAAACCGTTTCCAAATTACAATTTAATATTCAAAATAGTTTCATCGGTTCTAAAATAACACCAGAGCTTAAAATAACATCCATAGTTCATAGTCTAGTCTGGCTTTTTGCAAGATTAAGTATCCTATTGATTGCTCGGTCACTTTATTGACCTGCATAAGCTGCACAAAGATACATTTTTTTTTGTTTCTTCTTTACTAGCCCTGAACACCTTTGTTCCCTATCGAGCAAATGATACCTTTCCATTTCATAGGAATTCTGTGGCTATGAATGCAACAAACTACCTTGTAGCGTAAAGTATACCTAATTCCAAAGAGCACTTTACAAGTGGTGGGAAGCTGTGTCCTGCTGAAGTAGCAAACTTCCCGGTTTTCAGGCTCCATAGTTTCAAGCATCCTGCATAGCTGTGCAAAGCCGTGCCGGTTGCTGTTTCTGCTGACCCTGCGAATGAGATGAATATACGTACAGGATATGATACATTTGAATGGAAGATCGGTGATGTGCGGGGTGTATTTAAAAGCACGCTAGGCACTGGTGCTTCATAGGTAGGGCTTAGCAGGAAGTTCAGAATTTGCAGCTGTGAAGGTTGCTGGAAAAATGGACTGAAATCTTAAATATACTGGAGATGATGGTCCAGGATTTTGAGAACTTGAAAGGACTTTCATGAACCTCTCTGCTTGAAAATCAGTTTGAGTTTCGTATGCTTTCTAGTAGGCTGCATCTGCTCCATAAGGAATCGCTGGTCCAATCTATCCAAATATAGTCACTGTTTAAATCAAGTCAGATCATTTTTTTCTGTGACTATTAACTCATTGTAACTTTTTTTTTTTTAAAGAACATTTAAGACATAGAAATATGGTCTACAACATTTACGGCTTACGTTACATTTTAAAATAGATTTTAGGAGCTTTGTCTTTCTAAAGAAGAAACCTTGTAATAAGTGGTTTCTTCGAATAAGTAAAGGAGGATCTATTTTGTCTGCTTCTGTGATAAGTTAATATTCAGCTGCATTTTTAAATGTTGGGATTATTATGTTGCTGAAATACACATAGATCTGTGTTACTTCTTTGTCTGAACTATGTATACATTTCAAGTAGGAAACCTTATACTTGCTAAATTAGCACCTAATTTCAAATACTTTGGAAAAACAGCAATTGTATCTTTATTTGCACTTGTGTAGCAAAAAATTAAGTAAACTGCTAAAAGTAACACAGGGAAGATGCATTTCCACAGCATTAACATGATGTGTGTTTGGCTTCGCGCATCCAAACCTTCTGGCTATGTAGAACAGTAATAATTTAAATATTTTGAACTATTGTTGAGGCTTTAAATGTCAATGAAATAAATGACTTGTTGGTTATTATTAGAAGCAAAGAGAATTTCACTTCAGCACTGTAGCAATAAACATAAAGCACTCACTTCTGCCTAAGGGTTTATATGTTTCATGCTGTGGTTCAGTTATTCTGCGCGTGTGACTTAATTCCATTGGAAATGTTATATATTTATTTGAGGAGTGACGTGTTTTCCCCTCGTTTTTTTTTAAAAGGCTTAGTCTTTTTTTCTGTTGAAGCTGTTGAAGAGCTTCACAGGCCCTGGCCTGGCGGTGCCCCCCGCCATCCGCGGGGCTCTGTCAGCTTGGGCTTTTGGGGAGTTTTCCGTGAAAGCGGCAGCCGGAGCTGGAGCCTGCCGGGGGAGTGCGGGTAACCGCGGCCCTGGGGGCCGGGGGGGGTGCGTCAGGGGGGCACCTGTTCGCCAGCGCCGCTCCCGAGGGCTTTGGGAGGGGCGAAGGCGCTTCCCGCCCCCGCCAGGGGA